AAATTAAGTCACAAACAAATATAGGCCGGAATTCACATGCTATGATTAAAGTACAAATATAATTATTTTGATAATTAAATTTGTATAATTAATTGCATAATTAAGTTGCAATAATGTATTTAAATCATAATTTCGTATGACTGTTATTTATTATATCACAATCATATTGAATTATAATAAGCATATTGCAAATACATATTTCTGCGTTGAATGTGGAATTGTCATTAAACGTAGAAGCTGCCTATAGAAATTTTTAGAAAAAAATTTTGGAAAGTATTATTAATATATTAATTAATTTATTGTTTACATTAAATTATTCACAATTCTATAAGGTATCTTCGCGATTCTATATAAGATATAAAAAAACAGTTGCTCGAAAGAAGAAATTATAGTGATGTAAAGGAAAGTCACATAAGCTACTTAATTTCGTTTATGTAAATTTATATGTATAAGTTATGTCACATATAAGAAAATTTATTTTTTCAATGTATGGCATCTTTAATTATTAGAAATATATACATTTTGCATTATTTCATATGTATATATATAATACAATACAATATCATGAAAATTAATGATTTTACTACATAAATATAAAAAATCGATATAACTAGGTGTGTATAAATCATATTTCTGGTATCTATTCGTGCTTTCGTTCAATGAAGAAAAAAAATCAAAGTTACACTACGACAGAAAATGAAATAAAAATGTCTGAACAGTATAAAGGTGAAAGAAAAAAAAGAGGAACGTTACTTTCGATATGAGTAAAGAACATTTATTGCCGAAACAACGTGAAAACTACGATATTTTTTTGTTATGTTTTCCCAGCGTTCTTAGAGATATTGTCTTTTTAAAGGAATTTGTCGTGTACAGTGTAAAAAGTTTTGTAAATAAAATTTTCATACACATTAGCATAGAGAAATTTTACAAACAGAATATACAAACAAGATTTATTAAACTAATGCAGTTGATAGCAAGCATTTAAACATTAGGATTATCACTGCCTAATTTATTAACGAATTTTGTAACAAAATTGCATGTTATTACCTATAATTTGGCATTATCATGCGATATGAGAAGAGTCATACTAAAGATATAAGGATTGCCATTACGAAGACTAAAAATTCTAAGACTACTATTATTCTTTTGTATATAAAAATACATGTGTATGATATGGTATATGTATATATTATGTAGATGTTATAATAAAATATATAATATAAAGCAAGTTAGAAACATATTGTAATATTTTATTTTCCTGTAAGTATATTAACAAAAATGAACAATGCATGTGAGAGAAAGATGAGTGAGCTGTACATTCTTATTTCATGCTTAAAGCTTCATCATATTTTTATAAATTTGTGTAAAATTATTTAAATTAGGAGAATCCTATCTCATAAGAACATGATATTGGGTTAAAGAAATTTTATTATATACTCATTTTAAAATGTGTATATTAAATTTAAAATTTTTGCAACGATATTTACATTTTTACGATTTTAAAATACATATACTTTAAAATGGATACTGTATAGTATACATAACATATAAATAAACTGCTATTTCATATGTATCATGTATAGAATAAAATGTATATTATTAAATCATGAACTGATGAACGAGGACAGCTACCAACAATATAACAAATGCAACACTTAAGCCAGTAAGATACGTGGTCATTTGATAATTTCCAGTTGTATCAGCATTATTATCCAACGGTTTAGTATTGACATTGCTTTGACAGTAGAATTCTATAGGATCTGCATTAACATATTCGGTTACAATCGAATAATATATGTGACTTTGTTGTTGCTGCAATAATACTTAATATTTTTCTACTCACCAGCTTGTAGTTCGACTTCTTTTTGAACCTGACTTTCTTGTACGTTGAGATCTAAAAGTTCTTGCAATGACAATAACGCTTCTTGCGGCCCTTCGCCAGGAAACAAATAATCCGATAATGTAACTTTATTATCTGGTAATGCTATTAACACCCGTCTCGGTGGTTCATGCAATGTGATATTCTCTGAGAACAAGTTGCAAAGATGCAGAAGAGTATCAAATTCTACTACAATATTTATATCGCATATCTCTCATTCGTGATTTACCTTCGGGAGAACCATTTTCTTCCTCTATTAAACTATCCCAATGCATTTCTAATCTACTTGCGAGAGATCTCACTATATCTTCTTTCACTGCTATATTGGCCTCTGCAATACTGGCTCTCTGATGTACAAATGTCCTACTGACTAATTGTCCAATTAGTCGTATCGATGCGCTGCACGATGTTGTTCTTACGTCCACATTACTATTATCTTGTGACTAATAAAATTAATTTTATTTAATTTAACTTCTTAAAATATCTCTTTTTGTAAACTTTAACAAAATTGTATTCATACTAACGCAGGGAATATATAGGCTAACTTGAAGTGAATTATTACTATCGTCTGTCTTATTTTTACATTTTTTATTGCTACTCTTCTTCCTCTTGCCAAGTGTTTCTAATGTGTCATCGGGAGATCTGACTTCTCCCTCAATAACGATGAGTGAAGAATCGATTAAATCTGCTACGTTTGTCAAAATATTCTGTAACATTTAATGCTTTTAATGTGGTATTGTAAAAATAATTAAGTATTCATTCATTAATACCTGTAATTGCTTCTTGAGAGTTTCAGGATCCTTGTCTACAGCAATAAGATACAATCTGTCAAAATCAACTAGAGTTTCAAGTTGATGCCACTTGGTTGCTTTTTCTTGGAATTTCCAATCGGCTGGTTTTAACATATTGTCCTTAGCAATATCTATAGACTTGCAAATATATCTAAAGATAAAATTAAAACAGTGAAAATACAGTGTAAAATTTTTTAATTTTGAACAAGTCAGCATACTTTTGTGCAATACTGTTAAAACTTAGTATTAGCTTCTCATCCTGATTATTTCCACAGAGGTACTTATTATTCCATGACAAAGTTTTGTGAATTGCACCAAGAACTGATTTAAGCTTTTGTACATTGCTAATATTATCTAAAGTATCCTCAGGTCCAACAATAAATACACCAAGAACCCACATTCCACCAGGTAACATTCTTGTAACCTGTAAATAAAACAAAACTCAACATCTAATCATTTTTTATATAATAAATACAGTAGGTTGATTAAACACACACACACATACACACACACATACACACACACACACACACACATAATTCTTTATTCTTCAAATACTTGTTTACATATTTAGATTTATCTATTAATTACTTGATATAAAATACTCATATTATTGCAATATTATAACTATATTTGTATAAAAAAAATATCAAAATGTTATTGACAGAGATTGTATTGGTTTTTATTTGATTTGAAATATTAATTGTAAGCATATCTCTCTCTCTCTCTCTCTTTCTCTCTCTCTCTCGTCCTTTTAACGATTTCTGGTAAATGAACAATTTATTCATTTCTAATTAAATAATTCATAAAAATAATTAAATCGTATTTCATAATTAGCATAGAGAGAAGCTATTCTGTCAGTTTCAACTTTAAAGTAATACAAAAATTTATTATAACAAATAATATCTCTTTATAATGACATGCTTATAATTACATTATACAATCATGATCGCTTCTTTAAATAATCAATGTATGCTGTTCAGAAACATAAACATTAAGTATCATGAAAAACAGACAAAAAAGTTCTGCTTTACCCTATATAAAAAAGGTTATAACATACATGTTTAGCATGATCAGCAACCCAACTCATAGGTATATCTTTAACAGATCTGATATATATATTTGCTGCATCCTGTTCCATAGACACTGTAGAACTAATTAATGTTTCTTCCACGACATTTTTAGTGAGAGGAGGTGGTGTTTTCGCTAAATGCACAATATAGTCCTTTTGCCCAGCACTCTATAATATCAAATAAGATAGTGAAACAATACATATAACTTATCATAAAATTTAATATTATGCATCTGCAGAATCAAATTTCTTTGCTCTCAGACCCAATGATTGAAGAAAAAACATAAATATGTAAGAATGACTGCTTGAGTTTTAAATTAATATACACAGTCAATTATAAAATACATTAATATCATAAAATTGCGTGATTTTCACTTGGCTTATTGTATGTTAAAAATGAGAAAGTACGATCGACACAGAGAAGCAAAGGAAAATCAAACCTGTCCTAAAATCAATCCTATCACGTATCCATCTGGTTTCGCTAACGATGTTAAATATGTGCGAAGATGTTCCTCAACATAAACTGTTCGTCCCATTTTTTTCCGTGCGCTATCCTCCTGAAATTCTTACATAAAACTGCATAAATCGCAACAATTTGTGTGCGGTGAAAATTTTTTATATGTGTGTAATCTAACGAAAAAGTTACATTATTGCTACGCTATCCACAGGACACCACACAACATACGACATCGCTGATCGCACAGCACACAGCGCACACCGGTGACACGCCGCGATTTCTCTTTTTTTGACAAGTTTTCAACGCATTCATAGCCAGTGTTACCACAACGAAATTATAAAATATACTAACATCTAGTAGCAAAAAGTAGAAAATGTATGTTACTAACATCTAGTGGCTGTAGTCCTATTGGACTAAATGTCAAAAACACTAGTTTTAGCATATGCTGTGTTACTTCAATGAACAAAGATAAAATGATATATTGTATTGTATCATGCGTATCATGCGTATCATGCGTAAAACGGAATACACCTCTAGATAAAAGTTAGCACAAAAATCCTCCATATTTGAGATCTAATAAAATCATACAAAAAAATTATTATTAATACTAAACGTTTATTGGTGCTTAGTATTAATATTAATTTTTTTTTATTAAGTTGGAAAAAATAAAAAATTACAGATTTCTTTATCCATTTTTATTCAGCATCACGATCAACGCTGAAGATAAAATGGGATAAAGAAATCTGTAATTTTTTTTTCTCAGTTTTGAACATAAAATACATCAGTGACAAATATTGTACATTAGCATGTACATTTTAATCATGGAAAAGAAATTTTTATTCTGTGAAACTACTCTACGTAAAAATTCAACAGGAACAAAAATGTCAAAAACGCTAGTTTCATTGATAATACAGGGCGGATTTAGCAATTTTCTCCATGAAAATATTCAATATCGTTTTATTCACTAACGGTACATATTTATTTAAAATTATACTTATATAGATCCAAAATTTTAATTCTTTAATGTCCGTTTCCACCAATGTAGATTAACTTTAATCTCGGTTTAACTTACTCTTTGTCTTTTTCTAGTTTTAAAAATTAGAAAAAGACGAAAGGTAAGTTGAATCGAGACGAAAGTTAATCTACATTGGTGGAAATAGGCATAATAATGCAAAGGTTGACGACACTGGCTTTCATAAGTTTTTCTATCTACATACCATGGTCCTATAAACATGATAAAAGTCAGGAAAAAGGTGAGGAATGAAAACATAGTCTGCGTCTTATTTCGTTTACTACAGATAAATGTATATCTAATATACATAAAGAAGATTTATTTTAAATAAGGATCGGATCAATATTCGTAAGTACATAGCTGGAACACTGCTCGCTAACCATAATACGATTTTGATTTTTGCTTGCAGCATTTCAAAAAGCAGGGAATATTTTTATGTATCAAGAAAGGATAATGTACAGTATTTCTCTTCTTTTACTTGTTCTGAGTATACAGACAGATGGATTTTCGGAAGATGTGTGTAATGTGAGTTAACGATTTACAATTGCGTAAACGTAGACATAAGGTTATGGGATTAGCAATAAATGTATAATGTATTAATGTATAATCGAGTAAAGATTCAACTTTTATCTTCAAATTGAACATTGCTCACTTTCTTTGTATTCCATACTCTTAATATAATCATATATTCATAATATAATAAACTCTTCAAATAATATATCATGAAATAAACTCAATAAAAGATGAAAAGGATACTTCACAATTTTTTTTATACGTTGAGATAAAAAGGACAATAACGATGTAGATACGTAACAGTACTCTGATTGGTTCACTCTTACGTTTTACGCAGTCATAGTCGTGAAAGATAAATTTGAACTATCTTTTACGACACGCTTTACAACTAGGAATTAGGTTAAAACTTTACTTGACAACATTTCACAACCATTTACAACTACGTTTATGCAATTCTAGATTGGGCTTTACACAATACATTTTGAAAATAATATATTGTATATTAATAATGCATACCTTGTTATCTTATTTTGTTTTTCAGTACAAGTTTAAAGAAAAACAGCCTAAGGATAAAAATGATCATGACATAATTGAATACAATTCTATGTATCTTAATTATTGTACTGCTGAAGAAGTTCCTTATTATGAGAGTTACGATGTATTTTGGGATACCATGGAAGAAAGAGATACACATAGTATGTCATTTTGAAATGTAATAATTTTTCTCTAAAATGATTGGATCTAATTATATCCATTAATTATATTTTTATCTTTTATCTAAGATTCTTTAAAGGTTCAGTTTGCACCTCCTAAAAAAGAATGCAAGTTTGAAATAGCTTTATTAGTTGATCCTTTCATCAAGAATCAAGAAGAATGTATGAATTATGACTTTGATAAAGTGGTTGACATTAAATCGAATATACATACTGGGGACAGAAGTGTATGTTTTTTTAAGAACACTAATCAATCAGCATTTGTAAGCAATGCTAAATCAACAGTCCAGTTATATAAGGTAACAAACAATACTAATTTGATATGGTGAATGGTTACGTATACATTCTGATTCTGCATATTGTGCACCAAAACCTTTTTCAGTTTTGAAACATATTCATGAACAGAACTAGAATAGTAGTATTATTTATTAAATTAATTAAATTATACAAGCAGCAGAGAGTTTAATCATTTTTTTTATGTTAATAAGAGCATCTTTTCATAAGAATATTTATAATCGAATGTAAAAGAAAATCTTAAATTTGTGAATAATTTATTGTTTGTGAAAAATATTATTTCAGCTTGGGTATCAAACTTGGATCTCTTGCATTCTGTGAGAGCATTCTTATCATTAGATCACTGAGAATTCAACAATATTTGTCACAATAACCAATAACTAGAAAATGTATGTTTTGTTTCAAAGTGATATGTGTTAAACAATGTAATAGTTATACAAAATGTTGCAAAATTATATATTGTGTCCTAGTTGTATCATGAAATTTTCAATCACAATTCACAAATTGAGACATTGAAGTCTACAGCATATTTTTTTTTGTACTGGACTATATACAAATTTGAAAAAAATTCTTGTATACTTGTGAAACAATAATGTTATTGAAAATGGCCTAATATAATCGAAACGTTTAACAAAGATATTTATTATGTTTTATTATTAAATTAAAGTTTTGAACAACTAATGTTTTCCACATTGACACCCAGTGCTGGCTTATGTATGCTTCTTATTAATTATTATTATGTATTTATGAGTAATTATAATAGAGTTAAATTTTAACTTTATCACAGGTCTTCTTGAAACATCGTTCGCTTATTAACTATAAGTTATTGGCAAATGTTATAACCTCTGTAGTCAAACTGGTATAAGGTATGACGTTCCAGAAAGTTGGAAGTTTCCAGATTCAGCTAGGATATCCTAGATGAAGCAATATTTTTCGCTATAAATTATTTATAGATTTTAAGATTCTTATCAGTATCTGATTAGAGCAACTCAAATATATACGCTGTACCTAACAAAAATTTAATTTATCAAGTATTATTTACTATGTTTAAGGTAAATGAACTATCAGCAAAAAGTTGGTATCGTCTACTACTATGAAAAAAATATTTAAAAAATGTTAAAAACATTTATTTTACATTATTAAATTTATTTTCCAGGATAATATCTGGCTATGGTTTAGATATATCTTTACAGGATGCTATGCATTGCGGTATCGCATAAATAATCAGAAATATATAATAGGGCAGTCTATATTTTTGAACACTACTTATCAACGAACGGAAGTTCAAGAACCACAAGTCATTTGTAAATATAAAGATGTAGATACGAGGCAATCTGATTCTGAGAAAAAGTATGTCTAATAATAAGATTTTTCTATTATACACTTCTTTATTAACTATATTTTATCAAAATATTTTAGCTCTCTAATAGCATTTTTCATAAAAAAAAAAACATTTAGAAAAAATTAAGGTAAAAATGAAGATGAAGGAATCCTCTCCCAATGATCTTGACATATGTTATCAAAGTAACCTTGAATAGTAACCTTGAATGACTTTGAAGAAGTTTTAACTATCAGTCGTTAACAAAATTAAAATTTTGGCAAATATATATTTTATAAAATATACAATGATGGTCATGAAAATAGAGTAACCTATACAAAAATTAATAAAACAGCTCTTTACCCGTCTGTCTTCATTTCACTTTGTAGTAACATTACCGATAAGTGAAAGCAGACCGATAAAATAACTATATTATTAATTTTTATGTAGCTCTATTTTCATGACCATCACTATACGTGGATTGTCTTGTTTCGCATTGTAAAGTGGACTGATTTCACACGAAGCGAGTCCATGCACCTTTCTTACGACCCAATGAACGATTTAAAAGGGAGGAAGATGAACTTGACTTCACCTGGAAAATAGAATGTCTCTAGATAAGGTAGAGGGAAGGTGGAATGAATGCTTCGCGTGAAAAGTCATTACAAAAATTGTAAAAATTAATCCCATTTATAAAAACTTTGTTAATAGCTTTTTAACGAGCAACGATCGGTTAAAACTCAAGGTCACTCAGGGTTTTTACAACATAATACGCCAAGGTCATTGGAGCAATATTTCCTTATCTTCATTTTTAACAAAATTAACTAATTACTGCATATCTATATTTACAGACAAGTTGTAAAAAATTTCACATTAGATATTTTTCTACCAGCAAATACGGGAGACATCCTTCGTCTAGGATTGATATCACCGCGAAATAAAGACTTACAACAAAAATGTATTTGGCAAGGAGAACCGATATTATACTCGTGGACAATAAGACTGGTAATATTTAATTATCAAAATACAGTTTCTTTTTTTTAAGCAGCTGACATTCTTTAAATTTTTATTTTTAGAAGATAGTAGTTCCGTATGACGAACTAAAGGATCAACATTGTAATGTAAAATTGGTAAATATTTTTCTTAATCAGAATTGTACATTATTTTCAAGACATCAAAATATTAATCTCTTATCTATATTTTGTGTGTGTGTGTGTGTGTGTGTGTATGTATGTGTTCAGATATGTATGTAAATTACATTAAAAAGAATTTTCAAATAGGAAAAGCCAACGGCAAATGGAAAATATATAAAAAGAGTTCGTTGTAACTTTCAAATAGAAACACAAACTGAAGGTCATTGTTTTCGATATCTCCTGAGTGATAATCGATGTCAGTCAGATACTATATGGAAGCCAGAATGTTTCAGATATTATAGAGAAGATGGAATATTACATGAAGTGCCATGTTTATGGATACAGCGTAAGTATGGACATGTAAATTACAAAATAGAATTAATAGATAACAAAATTAGCAGCTTTCTAATTGATGTATTTTAGCGATTGACATATTAGGAAGTAGTTTAAACTTTACATGTAAATATTTTACAAATGGATTTTTCGTTTAGATATACAGAATAGTTTTACAAATGATATTTTTAGGTTGCACAAAATTTTATGAGCTACAGGATGTGATCGTATCGAGACAAATGAAATCAGATGTGATGCCGAGTGCAAGTTGGTACCTATTGTTGCCAATTATTGCTATTGTGTTAATTGTATCGGCAGTAATTGGAATATTATGTTTCTGGCATTACTCGTGTATTCGAAGGGAAGAAATCAATTTGTATATAAATCCACAGCACGATGATTCTGATTGTCCCAAATCCATCGATTTCGATATTATTGACAATGTCATTGAGAAAACAATCGATCATGGTAATTCTTCGTGCGATGATATTGTTCTTCTTTACACCAATCATTCGACATCTTTTATGACGTTGATGAAAGATTTTCGTGAAACACTCACCAAAATATGCTCTTGTTCTGTAAGTTTTGCAGTAATAATAGTAGATAATATATTCTACATAACACACCATGTAACATCATTTATCACAATTTATAAAATTATTAAAGTTTTCGCATTTGTATGATACAAAGTGATATGATTTGAATATTAAATATGTTTTCTTTACGATTATTATTCTTAAAGGTGCACGACTGGCATAATGGAACTGTATGGAACGAAGTGGCTAGGGTTGGTACTGTTTCATGGTTTATTAAATTATTTGACAATGGCTGCCGCGTCATTTGGGTAGATACACCATTTACGAGAAGTGTCATTATATCAAACGCGAGAGATAATGAATTAAGCTCAGATAAGCTCAGGAAATACTATGAAATACACGATTTCCGCGATATATCATTTCGAGCTGTGCTTGAAGTAGCAAAAAGCAAAGTAAATGACGAAGTCGCGCGTCAGTATCGCAGACATTTTGTCGTAAGGTAAATTCCATAATTATTTTTGTGTCGATTTCCAAATTGCATATGTTCAACTATTCGTGGCGTTGCAGATTTGAAGGATTAGAAAGCACAACAAACGTGAATGATCCATTCTTGGATCTCTCTCCTCATGCGCGATATTACATGCCACAGCATCTCGTGCAATTATGTTCGGATTTGTAAGTATATCACATTAAAACTCACAATCAGTGTTCTGTAAGATAGTTGGCTATCTGATAATTTTATTTTCAGGTCGATGGTGAAATCGGAAATTTCTAAAGATAAGATAAAATAAAAATATTTTTCTAAAATAAAGATGCAAGAAGATTTTCATCGTATTTTCGATATACCAACTTTACAAGTTTCAGACGCGGCATCTGAAATAAGAGTGAAATGAACAATATGAAATAACCATAAATTATTTTAAGCTTCCAGCTTTAACCCAAATCCACGACACATAACGAGATCTTATTCGTGTTTTTTTTTTAATGTAAAATGTAATACACATGCACAAAGGAACTCATTAATCATATGAAAAATTAGATCTCGGTGAAATGAGTTTTCACATATGATTTGTAATATAGTAAAAAAAATGTATAGTTTTCAGAATCATTTTAGAGTCAAAATCTCAATAAATTTTGAGTCATGATGTATCAAAAATGTAATACTTGTGCTTATAAAGCACCTTGGCTACATAATAACTCAAAAATTATTATTGAGCCTATCTATAATATCTTTTGTTCATCATTCATGTTATTAGTTATTTTATGTATGAAAAGTAATTCATTTCACTAGGATCTTTAATTTTTTATTAATGCGGAATCTTTTGTTATAATATCAAAGATACTACCTCAAATTGTATGTATATAAAGATTGTATAAGACGATATATAATTTTGATAAATATGGTATGATTACATTCATACGGTTCTTAATCGGATTTAATAACATTCATAGTTATGAAACTAGCTAATCATAGTTATTTCTGTAAAGAATAGAATGTATATATATATATATATATATA